TGATGTGAAAAGCCTGTTGCACCTCAAATAGGTAGCTCCTCAGGTAGCTCCTTAGCTACTCTCTTGCATGGTCTCCATTGATGTGAGAAAGACAAACAGCTCATTTCACTTAATGCAGCAGTCCCTTACTTGTGTTTTTGAACTGCACATGCTGCACTTCTTAGATGGTTAAAATCCCATGATATGATGTTAAAAACTGAGCTCAAAAAAGTTTCAAAAACTCAGTGTGTGAGGCAGGTAGCCACAAAAGCAGCCAATCACTCCGTTGCCACAGGAACATGGCTATATACAGTCTATGGTCCAAATAGGATTTGTGGTTGTTGGTAATTTTGTCACTGTTTTAGTGGATGAAATATTTCTGGCACAGTTCTCATAAACACTATAAAATGTAAGAAAGTACAATTCTAACTTCTGTTATCACTGGAAAAACATCTGGTCATATGTGGTTGTGATGCGAACCACAATTACAGCACAGACCAAAAAAATAAATAGTAAAAGTATAAAGCACACAAAACCACACACATCAGGAAATATCGACCTATTCATTACAATACTCTGGATGTTTTATTTGCGTATTAGACATGACAAAAGTGTGAAAATCTTGTCAAGTATATAAGCCTACTGAAACAATCATAGCAAAGATAAAGATAAATGGCAAAGATAAACGTCTCAGAATGAACAGACTTAGTCATTTACAAGCATTTTACAGCACACTCCACACTCCTTTGATAAGATTTGAGTTTAGCCTCATTGAGATTGCCTGTAGCTGATGGGCGTCAAGGGAAGCTTAGCTGGAATACAAAGTGAGGCGTGTTTTTTTTTTTCTTCTGATAAAAGTTCATGCCATAAAAAAGAGCAATCAATCAAAAGCCAGCAGGGAAAGTGAAAAACGTGGATAGCACATTGCAACATACTGATCAAACTTATGTAAGGTATTCCCAAATTGCATGACTAAATGAGGTTGCTAGTTACTAATAGCCTAAAATGTATTGTGAAATTAGCATACAAACAATAGGCTTTTGATGACTTCACAACATTCAGAAAAAAATGTGTGATTTTCTGTGTGGTATAGTGAATCATCGTAATATGTTTTGACAGTTGTGAATTGTTAATGCATTATTTCTTATTAAATTCAATCAATACAGAAAACTGCCTTCTTCCCCCTTCCTGAAAACAACTCCTTTAGTTATAGGTTAGCAGTGTGTGGTCTTTAGGTGGGTTTCGTTAACCCACCAGTTTTCCACAATTCACAATAATTACTGCCCACTAAATATGCAGTAATCTCTGTCGTGGTGCCCAGTCAGCTGTTTGTCTGTCTCCACCGCTGCTGGGCCTATGTCTATAATTAAATCACCATAATTACAAGGGCCCTAATCCAGGGTGGCAGGGCAACACAAAACAGCCCATAGTTTATTCAGATTTCACTTTCTAATAGAGTTAATTAAGAAATCAAACAAAGCATTGGAAATGAGATTTATTTCTGGGAGTGCCTGGAGTGAGACCAAAATGTGTCAGATCATTTTATTGATTCACTTTTTAAATGCCAACTAATGTCTAACAGGGACAGTTAACAATGCACTGAAAACCTCTAGTTAGTGCATCACAAGCCATGTTTCTTGTTTTATCAGAATATTTACAATGTATTTGACCAACTAATTATAAACACTAGCACTAATTTGTGTGGACATAACAACACTACAGCTGATACTGTTGGCCTGTTCTGATAGTTGGGCAGTGCTCCATATTTTTACAGTTTTATATTTGTTTACATAAGGGCTGATTGAACATGGCCATGGGCAGGGCATCTGTCTTTTACAGTGTTAAATGTCACATGTCACACTATAATGGATTCTTCTGCTGTGGCTTATGAAATGTGTAGAAATGTTTATTCTTTGCCTGGTATCCAGAGTAAACATTTCTTCAATACTTTACAAAGATGTGAGTCTGGTCACCTGTGAATTTCCCCATTTTCAAATGGACGTGATTGACAAGTGGTGTGGTCCCTATTGTGGATTTCTCCAGAATCAGTGAGCAAAGCACTAAACAGATGACAAGTGACCAATGATCTCCTTTGTTTCACATGTGTCACTGAAAAAAAACAAAAACAAATCTGATTGCATGATCACATTTGGCCAGGCTTGAGATGCAACAGTGGGCATGGACCAAACTGATATGACTCAGAGATATCATTCTGGATTTGCCAGACAAGCTTTTTTACTACTAGTTCAATGACTATAATTTGTACATGTACTGATGAAATTTTCTTTTTCAAATTGTGCAGAAAATGAATAGGTTAAATGATCATCCTCCTCTTTCTTTTATGTCTATGCTACAGTGAACCAATTCCACAGAACATTCACAATCATTTCACAATATTTATATTTCTGGATTTGTCTTGACTTGGCAAACCATTCCCTCTCTGTTTTGAAATATCTTTTGGCCGCATCCTAGCAGAGCACCTGTGGATCATTCTTTTGACCCACTGATGCACACATTTTCATCTTTTTTTCACTATTAAAGTGAATGAAATGACCTGAACAAGTTGGTGGTGTCAGATTCTAAAATGTGATTATGCCATACACCTAGATGGGAAAGGTGCAGTTTTCTCTATTGATTACAATGTACTTTCATAAGGTCAATTTCATAAGGTAAACTTAATCATTTCTACTAATGACTACAACCAAGAACTGACTCACTCAAATCTGCATTTTACTACTATCCAGTTTAGCTGCCACCTGGCTCACACCTGACTCAATCTGGAACACTGAAAGTGGTCAGAAAATGTCAGATGCCTGCTATTTGAATCTGTTTGAACAGCAG